AATTTAATTCCAGCACTGGGAGGCAGATGCAGGGGGATTTAATTCCAGCACTGGGAGGCAGAGGCAGGGGAATTTAATTCTAGCACTGGGAGGCAGAGGCAGAGGCAGAGGCAGGGGTTTTAATCCCATCACTGGGAGGCAGAGGCAGGGGGTTTAATCCCATCCCCTGGGAACAGAGGTAGGGGATTTAATCCCATCAGTCAGGTGCAGAGGCAGTGGTATTTAATCCCAGCACTGGAAGGCAGATGCAGAGTGATTTAATCCCAGCACTGGGAGGCAGAGATAGTGGGATTTAATCCCAATACTGGTAGCCTGAGGCAGAGCGATTTAATCCCAGCATGGGGAGGCTATGGCAGGGGGCTTTAATATCAGAACTGGGAAGGAGAGGCAGGGGGATTTCATCTCACTACTGGGAACTAGAGGCAGGGGTTTTAATTCCAACACTCTGGAGGCTGATGAAGGGGGATTTAATCCCATTACTTGGAGACAGAGGCAGGAGAATTTAATCCCAGCACTGGGGAAGCAGAGGCAAGGGATTTAATCCCAGCCCTCAGAGGCAGAACCAGGAGGATTTAATCCCAACACTAGGAATCAGAGGCAGAAGAATTTAATCCCAGCACTGCAAAAGCAGTTGCAGTGGATTTAATCCCAGCCTTCAGAGGTAGAACCCGGAGGATTTAATCCCATCTGTCAGAGCCAGAACCAGGAGAATTTAATTTCAGCACTTGGGAGGAGGATGAAGGGGGATGTAATTCCAGCACTGGGTGGCAGAGGCAGGGGGATTTCATCCCAGCACAGGGAGGCAGAAGCAGGGGGGTTTAATCCCAGCACTGGGAGACAGGCATAGGAATTTAATCCCAGCACTGGGGAAGTAGAAGCAGGGGATTTAATCCCAGCACTCAAGGCAGAACCTGGAGGATTTAGTCCCAGCACTCAGAGGCAGAAGCCGGAGGGGATTTAACTCCAGCACTTGGAGGCAGGGGCAGGGGGATTGATTCCCAGCACTTTGAGGGAGAAACTGGGGGATTTAATTTCAGCACTTTGGAGGCTGATTCAGGGGGGGTTAATCCCAGCACTCGGAGGCAGAGGCAGGGGGATTTATCCTCATCAGTTGGGCAGAGGCAAGGGGATTTAATCCCAGCACTTGGAGGCAGAACCTGGAGGATTTAATTTCAGGACTTGGGAGGTTGATGCAGGGGGATTTTATCCCAGCAATGTGATGCAGAGGCAGGTGATTAAATCCTGTCACTCAGAGGCATAGACAGGGGGTTTTAACCCAGCACTGGGAGGCAGATGCAGTGGGATATAATCCCAGCACTGGGAGGCAGAGGCAGGGGGATTTAATATCACCACTGAAGCTAGAAACAGGGAGTTTTAATTCCAACACTTGGGAGCCTGATGCAGGGGATTTAATACCATCACTTAGGGCAGAGGCAGGGGCATTTAACCCCAGCACTTGCAGGCAGGGGCAGGGGCAGGGGCATTTAATCCCAGCACTGGGTGGCAGAATCTGGGCGATTTAATTCCAGCACTCAGAGGCAGAACCTGGAGTATTTAATCTCAGCGCTTGGAGTCAGAATTAGGCAGATCTCCATGAGTAGAAGGCCATACTGGCCTACAGAGCAATTTCCAAAGCTACACAGAGAAATCCCTATTCAAAAAACCCCGGAAAAAAAAACACAACACCAAAGTCATTGTTCTTGGTCTCTATACTAACCAAAGTGGATAACACCATTCTTACCCTTCTAGAATCTCTTTATTTCACTCTTGTCCCATCTCAAAAAATAGTCAAGGCCCACAAAGTATGTCCTGAGTGACATTGTCTGCTAACCATAAAGAAGTATCCCAGTCCCATAGGAATATGTTCTCTTTTTAACAGCTTTGGCCCAACTCACAGGAGCACCTCCATCTCAAATAATAGAGCTTGTTCTCTATTTCAGCCACTGCAGAAGACGTCTACCCTTACCTCAGTAACCACCATTTTTTATGTTGATATTTTAAAAATAATTTTATTTTTTTGTGATTGTAATAACATCGATTCTATCATTTCCCCACTTCCCTTTCCTCTTTCCACACATATCCATGTATCTGTGTTGCTCACTTTTAAATTCCTGGTCTCTTTTTCTTTAATTGTTGTTGGTGGTTGTGGTGGTGGTGTAGGTGGCAGTGTTGGTGGTGGTAGTGGTAGTGGTTTGTGAGTATTACTAAATACAAAATACGTCCTGGTCAATCCATATAGTGTTACATGCATGCATGTTTTCAAGGTGACTGGAGTCCAAACAGACCTGGACAGGGAGGACACCAATAGGCATGTTTGTGTGGGAGGAGGCAAGCTCAGGAGTTAAAGCAGTATTTAAGAGAGCCAGCTCCATGACTGCATCCAGGATATGCAAAAAAAAAAAATTCCATGAATTTGGTGAGGGCTTAGGAAAAATTCTTATCCATCTGAGGGTTAGATTTTCTCTGAGCAGGAAAATATGGAAATATACATGCTTTCTGATGGTAACTTTCTTTCACTTCATCTTAAAAAGTCTCTTTCTCTGAAAATCTGTCTCCCAGGTGTGTAGCTTGAACTACATAAGGGGGATGACAATGGGATTAGAATCCATCCCTGGTCATGAGCTGGCTTTTTGGAGCCCACTACCTAAGGTGGGACACCTTGAACAGCCTTGAGGCAGGGGAAAGGGCTTGGACATGCCTCAACTGAATGTACCTCCTCATGGGAGGCTTTACATTCTTGTAGGAGGGAATGGGGTGTGGATTGGGAGGTGGTGGCTAGAGGGGTGGGAGGAGGGACGAGAGGGATCTTTGATTGGTGTATAAGATGAATAAATTTTTTTTCTTAATAAAAACTAAACAAAAAAGGAAAATATGACTCCATATAGTTCTCTCTCTCTCTCTGTCTCTGTCTCTGTCTCCCTCTCCCTCTCCCTCTCCCTCTCCCTCTCCCTCCCTCCCTCCCTCCCTCCCTCCCTCC